CAGGAATAATTATACACAGTTTCGTACAGGTTCTCATTCTCATTTTTACAACTAAACCATTGTTGAATTACATGGGCCTTGATTCTGTGTGTAATTTCTTGACAAACTCACCATGAAATAAATGTTTACCATAATATGAAATTATATTATATCTATCTTTTGAATAACATAGAATGTTTTAATAAAAGTTTTTAGTTAAACTAGTGCAAAAATTAGTTTTAAAGTTGGGGTTTTACGATCGGTTAAGAGGTAACTTATCTTAAAAGTGATGATGTGACAACTTTGTAAATAATGTGAACACTTTTAACATCGATTAAATTTTAACTGATCTTAAAAATACTTTGAAGATAGATTATTTTATCACTAATCTTAAAAGGTATGTCTAATATAACTTTTAAGATTGGTTACAAAAGAACCGATCTTAAAAAGTGAAATACAAGAATGGTTATTTTAATACCTAATCTTAAAAGTTGTATTAGACATAACTTTTAAGATCAATCTTAAAAGAACCAATCTTAAAAATACTTTTAAGATCAGTTAAAATTTAGTTTATCTTGAAAGTACTGTAACTATTTATGAAACACTCCCCCTTGGTTGTTCTTGCATGCACCACCCTTGCTCGGTCTCCCTTGCTCTACAAATGCAGCCCTTCACACCTCCATCTCTCCCCACCAGCCGTTCTCCCTCACTTCACAAATGCAGCCCCTTATGCCAACATTGCTCCACATTGATTCTCGCTCGAGCAATCTTCCTTGTTGTGCGAATGCAGCCCTTCGCGCCTCCGTCATTCCCTATCAATCATTCTTCCCTCGCTCGATGAGCACAGCCCCCCGCGCCTCCTTCATTCCCCCTCGGTTGTTCTCCCTCGCATGCACCTCTCTTTCTTGGTCTCCCTTGCTCTACAAACACAGCCCCTTACGCCTTTGCTTCTCCCCCTCGTTTGTTCTATCTTGCTTTTCTTTTTGTGGTTGTTTATGGCTTTAACTCTCTCACTCATTTTGCCATACTTCCAATGCCTAGTACTTCTTCTTATTTACATAAAGAAAGATATCGAAAACAGATTTTGTAAAAAAGCTTCATGAGAAGGTTAAAGACCAAATTGAAAAACAAACTCAAAAGTATATTGAATATAACAACAAAAGGAGAAATACAGTTGTATTTGAGTAATGAGACTTAGTTTGGATTCACATAAGAAAAGATAGATTTCCTACACAAAGGAAGTCCAAACTAAGTCCAAGAGGAGATGGTCCATTCCAAGTTCTCCAAAGGATCAATGATAATGCATATAGGTTAGATTTACCTTTTGATTATGGTGTTAGCAACACATTTAATGTTTGTGATCTTGTACGTTTTTTAGGTGATGCTAACATTGATAATGAAGAGTTAAATCTAAGGACAGATCCTTCTAAAGAAGGAGGGTATGATGGAGGACCATCCATAGAGAGCTTACACTTGAAGACCATTGGACCTTTAACTAGGTCCATGGTTAGGAGGCTAAATGGCTTTCTACAAAGGAGGTGTTTCTTAGACCTATGCTCTATATGAGCATTGAGTATGATTCTCTTTTTGGTCTCATAGTCTTTATTACATACCTTGTATAGTTTGAGTTCTTTACCTTGTATATAGTAGATACTATTGTATAGGCTCATTTTTACCTTTGTATTTGTAAGGCACCTTTATCTTTCTTTGTAGGTTATACCCTTAGGATTTTAGAGTATGTTGTTTGGAGACTTTTACTTTATTTGACTATGTATTAATTAAGGGTCATAGATTTTCATATTTTTAGTTTTAATAGTGGGCTAGCAAGTAGTAAATGTGTAGGTGAAGCTAGAAATTGAGCCTTTAGTGAGCCTAGGCCAAATTTTACATATTAGGCTTGTTTTACTCCATTTAATTGAAAGAATTAATTTAGCTAGGTCTCACCATCATTTGGTGAACCTAACTAAATCAATTCCAAGATTTTTGGATTGGATTAGATGAAAGAAAACAAGCATGGCTGCCTATCTCCTCTTTGGCCGAGTTTCTCGTTAGCTTCTCCAACACTTTTGTCTCTTGGCTTGCCAAGAGAACAAGGTGAAAATTGGCACTCTATAATTGACTCTTCTAGATCTACGTGTCCCCTCCTTGTATCCTAAGAGACAAGGTGAAACTTGACACTTTGATTGGCTAATCTAGATCTAAGTGTCCCTACCTTGTTTAGCTTGCACTACAAGCTTCTCCACCACTATATATAGGTTGTTTCACTTATAAAACTCACTTTTGATGCATTTATAAAGCTTTGGCCATGACTTTCTCTCTGAGTTATGTTGTGCCAAATATGGCCATTATAGGTTAAATGCAACCCTAGAACGGGCCGTTCTGGTTTGAGAACGGGCCATTTTGGATGTGAAATTTTACACATGACGAAGAGTCTAGAACTGGCTGTTCCGGATCTGAAACGGGTCGTTCCGGCCACTCTTGATGCCTATAAATAGAGTGCTCTGGCACTCTCAAAAAGCACACCTTTCAGTTTTGACTTCTTTCAATTCTGACTTCTTTTCCTTCTACATTCTCTAAAGACCAAGGGGAACCTAGAGGAGGAGACCAACCAGATCCTGCTCTAGTTTCAACTACTTCTTACCGAGGTACAGGAGAAAAAAGAATTATTTGTATGCAATGTTACATGAGGGAATTGGGTAAAGAAAGAGTCCCTTAGAATTATGGGTGTAACGACCCGCCGTGGTCCCTACACTTAGTGGAATCGCACTAAAAATAATGAACTAAGATAAATAATAAAATTGGATAACTTATAAATACAAAAAAAACATGAAAATATATAAGAATCATTAAGTTTTTAAGTATTAGGTATTTATACAGTTATCCAAAACTACTATCTCCTAGTGCCGGTCAAGCACAAAACTACTACCCAAGGTGGTAACTCTAACACGAGGATCAAAACTCCCTGTCTCGTAGTGGTCACCTCAACTCCAAGCTAGCTCTGACTTGCTCCCATACCAAGTATGATCATCGCAGTCCCAACGACAGGGAAAACACGTTAGGGTAAGCTCACAACAATAAACATAAAAAAAATAGCCTCAACTTATGATAAACAACAATAGAATTCTACTTTCAACTTGCAACATAAAGCAACATAACACCTACAACAATAGATACACAATATCATCTAATAGCAACAACATTTTCAACATATCACACTTTATTCAAATTGGCCGCTTGTAATCGCTATAGATCGGCCTGGCCCCTATACCGTAGTCACTTCATACACGTGTACCTTGACCTTGCCCACACACGGGACCAACCAAGCCTAGAGGAGAACAAAACATCATCCCTTCCAAGGAACAACTTTCCAAGGAGGGTTTTTAAACAAATTGGGCTCTCAAAGCACCACAACTATCTCAATCCGCACAATGGGATGAGCAACTTCAAAAACTTCTCCTCTAGTCTTAGTGATCAACAACTCATCACAACACAATCACAACACAATCACAACTTAACAACACAATAACAAATATACAACTCATATCAACAACAAATCAACTCATCATCATCAACTTATGCGTCGTCACACATTTCAACTCGGAGATCTCCAACAACTGAGGTTGAGCAGTCTAGGTGGCATAAGCCCTACCGAATCCAGCGTTTGACCTATCTCAACCAGGTCAGGTATAGAACAATGTTAGGAACTCTGAAGAGAACCAGGTATAGACAACAATAGTTGATTTCTCAGGTGTGCCACTTAGACTCAGAGGTCCAGTACTACTGTCAGGACAGAAGGGTTTGGGTATGAGCCTACGACGGCCTTGGCTAGCATCACCAATCCATATATGGAATTAGCCCACCCACTGTCCTCCAAGTACCACACACCCTCCAGTACCTAGTCAAAGACTACATCTCTAACTAGATAACTTACTCAAAATTGGTCATTCAACCATGACATGGATCGACTAATTCCATGTCACCCACACAGTACTAAGGGATTCAACTTTAAAACAACTTTCAACTTTAAAACAACTTTCAACTTTAAAACAACTTTCAACTTATCACCTTAGTACTATGTATCTCAACATAGGACATATATCTTCGCCATATGTCCCTAACTTTTCAACTTTACAACAATAGATATCTTTACAACTTTACGAAAATAGGCACCTTACAACAATAGACAACTTACAAAATTACAACAATAGACATCTTACAGCAATAGGCAACTTACAGCAATACAACAATAGGCATCTTACAACAATACGACTATAAACATCTTACAATAGGCAACTTATACAACTTTAAACAACATTTACAACTTTAAACTACTTCAACTTATACATCTCAACTTATTAATAACTCCACAATAAACAACATAAAAACAACTTAGTTTCATAATGTATAACAACTTTAACAACATAACACATATTATCAACACACAACATATGACCAACTTAAGCCAATTTCAAAGAAAACAATGCATGAAGCTTCCCTAACCTGAATATTGGCTCAGCATTGCCAAGAGCTGAGAAGAAGTGAAATTTCCTTCCGAAGCTCAACCCGGGAACTTCCATCTTCCAAAATCAAGCTTCTTGGCCCAGAGTCCTTCTCTCTAAAACTTCTCTCTAAAAAACCCCATTTCCTCTTCCACCACAACCCCTATTTATAGAAATTCCAAAGTGGCCAGAACGGCTTTTTCCCAAACCCG